GGCGGGCGGGGGCGGGGCGCGGGGGGGGCGGGGGAGGGGCGGGGGCGGGGGCCGGGGAGCGGGGGCGGGGGCCGGGGAGCGTGGAGCTGGGGCGGGGGCTGGAGCGGGGGGCGGGGACGGGGCGGGGCGGTGGGGGGCGGGGCGGTGGAGCGGGGGCGGGCGCGGGCCGGGCGCGGGCCGGGCGCGTGCGCGGGCGCGGGGCGGGGCGGGGGGGCACGGGGCGGGGGGAGGATAAGAGGGGGCGGGCGGGGCGGGGCGCGGCGCCATGCGCGGGCGCGGGCGCGGGCGCGGTCGCGGGCAGCGGGCCGGCGGCGCGGCGAGGCGCGGAGCGCGGCGCGGGCCGGGCGCGGGCGCGGGCCGCGGGCGCGGGCGCGGGCGCGGCGCAGGCGGTGGCCGCGGGCGCGGGCGCTGGCGCGGGCGCGGCCGGGCGCGGGCGCGGGCGCGGGCGCGGCGCGCGGGCGGCGGGGCGTGCGCGGGCGCGGGCCGGCGGCGTGCGCGGCGGCGCGCCCGGGCGCGGGCGTGCGCGCGGGCGGGCGCTCGTTCAAAATCGGGCGGGCGGGCGGGCGGGCGGGCGGGCGGGCGGGGCGGGCAAAGCGGGACGCCGGGGCGGCTGCGTTCGTGCGGTGCGTGCGGTGCGGTGCGGGTTGCGGTGCGGTGCGGTGGCGGTGCGGTGCGGTGCGGTGCGGTGCGGTGCGGTGCGGTGCGGTGCGGTGCGGTGCGGTGCGGTGCGGTGCGGTGCGGTGTGGTGTGGTGTGGTGTGGTGTGGTGTGGTGTGGTGTGGTGTGGTGTGGTGTGGTGTGGTGTGTTGTGTTGTGTTGTGTTGTGTTGTGTTGTGTTGTGTTGTGTTGTGTTGTGTTGTGTTGTGTTGTGGTGTGGTGTGGTGTGGTGTGGTGTGTTGTGTTTTTTTGGGGGGGATCCCTTTGAGTGATTTTGAAGAGGTTTGAAACAGACCGCCAATTTGGGAGGTCCCCCTGTTTTGGCAAATGCAGTTAATGCAGTCAATCTGCGATGTAGATTCTGTCGTACTCCTTGCATCTCATATACAGGTGGCCAGCAAATCCCCCACCACAATCCTCATTCCTTGATGCGCAGCCATGAGCCAAGCGTACCGTTTACTTTCCCAATGCTGGCTTGCGGCCCACTGCATCCGTCCGTCGCTGATTTGGCTCCAGTTTGAATCCAAGAGCTGATCTGACAAGGCGTATGGATGGCCGCCAAAAGGCACAGCTCGATCCCTGCCTGAGCACCTTTCATGCCCTGCCAATCCTTAGCGCAATTTCTTGCAAAGCGAGGATTGCTGTCGGCTTCTTCGGGATCGGGCCTCTATCGGCCAAGCTACGCACATGACTCGTGTCACCATTGTCCAGGACTGACTTGTGCGGGCTGTCACCTGCACAAAGCCAAACGACCTGCACTAAGGGTGGCCGTTTAGTTCTCCCATCTCATGCCTGGAATTGTCCTCCATGTTGCTTGTGCGGTTGATGATCAAACCAGAGCATCCAGCTCCAAAACAAGCGGCTCACCGCGAAAAAAAAGAAACATGCCAGCCGGCGCCAGGAGGAGGCCATAGCTCTTCTGGGGAAATCCAGAGACACTCCAGACATTCTCCAGTGGTGCGGTTCCATGCCTCACTCATACTGGGGCCGGGCCACTGGATGTTTCAGAGAACATTGGGGCACTCCAACCATATTCCAATGGGTCAAGAAACATACACAGTCCCTTTCCACGCAGCTCAACCTTCCCCGGTCGGGATGCTAAACACTTGGGATGTGAGTTATAGGCCACTCTTTGGTGAACATCATTTCGGGGATTCACATGTGTCCTTTTTTGAGGGTACCTGTTTTGTGGTTCTTAAGGCAAACCAAAAGGAAAACCACCCTGAGCCACCGAGGTGGTTCCCTGAAATGCATAGCCCTCGCGCGTCCAAGCAGCTCGTCCAGGCGCCAGCGCCCGGCGAAGGTGCCAGACATCACAAGGATCACACCCACACCTCGGAGCACAGCAGGGCTTTTCCGGGAGCGACATGACCCGAGCGTCACCAAAATCGGTTGAAGAGAAAAGGAAGTTTCCCAAAACGGCGAGAGCCCCTGAAGATGCAACTTTGAGGGAGCTTGCGTGCCCAGTTGCTGCACATAGCCAGCGCTGTGTACTCAACGCTCGAGAAACATCTGGCCACGCGCTTTGCCTCAACGAGTGGAGCTTGTCTGCGCTTCCCTGACTTGTTTGTAAAGGTGCTGCAACCAACGAATATGTTTCTCCTACGTATAGCTTGAGCGCCGATTGAACCCTCACCTTGCCAACTCCACTGGCGACAAGATAATGCTGTACTTCCTTTCGCTCCGGCAACATTGGCCTCACAAAGCCATGATCACACCACAGTAAAGCAGGTCTGCAGCTGAGAAAGAATGCGCATTTAACCTTTTGTTCCGCCCGGGGGGGGGGGGGGCTGAGGAAGCGCTTCATACCGTCTTGGTCAAGGAACATCTGACATTTGGTTAGCATGTTGGAGGGTAAGGAATGTGCCAAGTGAATATCATGTTCCAAAAGTCACACTCACGCGCGCACACACAAATCGAAGGAAACCGTCGCCCCCAACCTGTGCATTCAAGTTGCGCATTTCTGGAGACAATGCCGGCATGCCATGAGAGAAGTAGCGCGCAGCGTGTGCTACATAAACGCGCTCATCTGGATGAGCCAAAAAGCATGAAATGCCACAGTTGAACGGCACAAAAGCCCAAACCTGCGGAAGCATGTTCGCGAAATCAGTGTCCTCACCTTGCCTCTCCCGCCTCTCCCACTTTGCTGCAAAACCTAGCTTCTTTGCGAAGGGGAAACTGTGAGCCACCTCCCCCAATCACATGTTGGGTCTTGGTGAGTCAATCCCATGTCCCAATGGCAAACTTGGTGAGTGTGCTTCGTGAATGTCATCCACTTGACTACAGTAGATGCCAGTAAATGTTGGCATCTTGGCGGTGCCAAGAAAGGTGTCCGCTCCGACACCCCCCGCTCGCTTCGGAATCAACGTCTCAGGTCTCAGAGACTTGGCACATGGCTGGACTGCCTTTTTGCCTGGTCGCACAACCAGCACACAACCAGCATCTGCCATGGACCGACCGTGCAATGGCATCTGCAAGAGAATTGAGCAAATGCCTGTCCTCAAAAATGTGTCCACGCTGCTAGCTACCCAACTTTCAGCTCAGCCACAAGAAACTCAGCAACACTCAGCACCATTTCGAGTTGTAATGACGAACGACTCGCGCTTTTTGCCGGCGGCGGTCTCTGGGCACGTTTCAGCGCTCAGAGTCGAAGAGAGTCAGCCTGGTCAGATGATGTGGCCATTACTTGCGTCCCCGTAGGACTGACATGGAGAGGTGAGCATCGAGAGCCCGGCCTTCGGTCGGGGAGCCGCCTCCAACAACTTGTCGATGCCTTTTGCAGCAAGCCTCACGGCGAGGCAACGAAGCCGCTAAGCGGAGGCGGCCGCGCCCCAAAAAAAGGAATCGGATGGTCCCAAAATGGCAACGATGTCCTTCTGCTTCCCAAAAAGAGAAACAAAAGGGACTCGATTCGAATCCGCGAAACTCCTGAGAGTGCCCAAGGCCCGGACAAGTGCTTGTCACGCTCAACTATCTCTGGGTGAAAGCTTGCCAGCTCGCAGTAGACGTAGCTTTGTAGAAGCTGCGCGGCATTGCGGTCGAAGATTTCAATGCTCGCAAATGCGTCCGGGGCACCGGTTTGGTGGGCTCGAAGTTATCGAAGCTCCAGTCGATCTTTTTGGTGCCTCAGCAATTCCTAGAACGGACTGTACATGGTGCCGAAAAATGCGATCCTGGCGTGCTCAATTGCAATACTCCATGACTCCATACATATTGTCTGTCCAATCTCACGTATTGACCAAAGCCTCTACAAACGTATAGCTGCCGGAAGCCAACCGCTGATGTCTTGCCCCACGCTGGACTAGTGGCCTTCCATCACTTTGGTCTCTAGAGACCTTTGTGCTTTGACTTCTCCGATGTATTTCCCGATCCGATGCTCTTGTCTCTCGTCCGCATGCTAACGGAAGGCCGCAGCTGCATCAATTTCTTCGCGCATCTCTTTCGAGTGGCCAGGAAATCGACTTGTACCAAGACACTAGCCATCGTGGTGGTCGTATGGCCATGGGTCAAAATCCCGTACCCTCTCCCAATCCCCACTAAAATAGACTCAAATGGGTGGTGCACCTACCCCAAAATGGTACCATTGGTTTTGATCCACAGAAGTATTTTACCGCATACGCCCTAATGCCGCTCCATGCGGAGGATACGTGGCCGAACTTACCCAAGATGTGGCCAGGGGCCGCGACAGAATCCACACTCTCATGGCCATATCTAACTTAAGCATGCAGCGACAAAATCATCCATGTATTGTCTGCTGCTATTTTCGGCAGCGTAAAAAACCGACCAAATTCAGCTGCTATTTCAAATGAGTCAGCCATTGCCACTGACCAAAAAAAGTCGCGCACGACAACCAATACTGACACTTACACTCGCTGGATCATCACTCACTGCTCCTTTCGACTGCCAACTGGAATAATTGAATACTGTTGACTGCTGGGCAAGTGAAGAAGGACAGTTCCTGACAACAACATACCCGCTCTTGCAGGAACATGCAATTCAAGGGCTCTGCAAAAAGCAATGTAGTGGGCTGATGAAACCTGCTGCTCATTGATGAAGCATTGGCAGTAAAGCAAGACTCGTGATAGCAAGCTCACAATGCCCTTTTCGTTCTGAGAGCATACTAGTTGGAAGTTGCGAAAGATTGGACGATCGCACTTGAGACGCACGCATGTGTCGTGGACCAGGTCTTCCTCCTCAAACAAGTGATCGAAATACCTGGCGCCGGAGCGATCTTGAACATTACTTCCACACAGGGACAAGCTCCTTTTTTGAGTACCCAAAGGTAGACTTAAGCCCGTTTCCCAAAGGGAGAAACGCTGGGTACAAGTCGACCTTGGGGTAGTCAACAACTTTGGAACCTTTTGTGAGAAGTTTGAAGGAAAACCAAAGGGGAACCTGTCGCCAACCCTTGGGGTAGTCCAATGGAAGCATGTCCAAACTGAGCCATGGCAGCGCTGAGGGATGCACTTCAGTCGCAAGGTGTCGGCCACGCTGATGCGAACATTCGGATCAAAGGTCACCATCTTCGACACAACCTGGATCAAATCAACTTGGATCCTGTGCCAGTATGCAGAAAATATGTGCAACACTCCATGTCGGGGCAAATTCTGGATGGACTGGACTGCATGACGCCGCCTACCTGGTTTGCACTACAACAACTGGTTTCAGAGGATGCAAATGATAGTGAGAGATCACCAGCATGCCTCCAACAATTGCCAGGGGATATGCTTGCCTGCAACGCATTTTTTCTGAGCAAAATCAACAAATATAGGCACAATGTACTCGTGAGCGCTCATTCTTCCTGGCAAGTTCGAAACATAACGAAGTTTCGCTTGCGCCTCAATGGCACTGTCGCTGGCCGTGGGGAGGAGTGCTTTCCAGCTAACCTCACACATGCGTCCAACCCGCCGTAGCTTTGCGCATGTGTAGTGCTGCCTTCTTGTTTGGTGGATGCTCGTTTCTGCACCCTTGACTCACTTCAATGCACCTGGACGTGAAAGCTTCACATGGGAAGCTGACCGTAAATGGTTGCCGAACCGGTAAAACCAAAACTCAGGATTGGACAGAAAATGTCCCAACTCTGTATTTGCAACTAAAAAGGTATGCAGCGCGGGAACTCAGAGAGTGAAACCAAGTATTTGGCCATTTGGGTGTCTAACAAAATTGGGGGACCCCTAAAACTCGGTGGTTACGGGTGGGTTTCCCTTTGTCCTGTTCACCAGCCCCTTTTAACGGGCAACCAGCCTTAAAAAAAGGGATCTACCCCCCAAATCTCCCGTCGACGCGCTTCGGTTTGGCCTGCCTTTGGCGCCGGAGTGCACTTCACCAGGAACGACCGCGCCGTGCCGCCTTCCGGCAGCCACTGCGTCTCAGCCTTCAAAGGCAGGGAATCGCTGAAAAAGGAAACAAACTCATGGACAAACTCATGCAGGTATGGTTTGGGCCGGTGTCAAAATAGGCAAATAAGGTCCCATAAATTGTTGATCTCCTTCAACCAAGGTGAAAATCCTCAAATATGATATAAATATATATATAATATAAAATATAATAATATATATATATATATATATGCTCTCGCCCCCCCCCCTTTCCTATAATCCACATTTCGGGCCTTGCCGCTTCCAGGGCCTTGTCGGGATTCTGCGACTGCAGTTTTAGCTTTTCAGTGTAAAATGGCCCATCCACTTTTTGCTAGGCTTCCAGTAGCGGCGCTGCAGGGGATTGCGGCGATGAGCGCCTCTCTTGGGGCCAAGTTCGCCGGGCGCGCCAGGCGAATGGCACGGGAAGATCAGTGAATTTCCCATGTGGCCGCTAGGCAGAGTTAATAAAAGGCACAGTGGCTCCGAAAGGCAAAACTACTCGCCCAAACTATTCATGAACTGTTTTTGCTTCGCCCCTGCTCTTGCCCATCCAAGGCTCTGAAGAGCTCAAGGGCCTGGTCTTCAAGGTGGTTCCGGAGGGCGAGACCGAGCTTCTTCCCAGATCCGCTAGAAAAAAGTTGCCTGCTGACTTTGCGCGTCTCATTTCGCTTGACCTCGAGCCTGCGCGCTTCACTTCTGCTATGTTGCAGCAAAAGAAGCTGGCTCACTGCTCACCCCGTCTGTCTCTTCTTTCTCTCGAGTTGCCTTCATGGCCAGCGCTGCCTCCCTTTGCCCAGGCCATGGACAATGCAAACCTACCTTTGAGGAGGCCGTTCCACACTGACGGCGTGAAGGCGCTTGCTCTCGATAAGCTTCGGAAGCCAAAAGTGCTGCACTGTCCCTGAAAAACCTGGCGAATCCACGCTAAAAAAAGTTTCCAAAGCCCGGATTTTACAGCACTGTCTGCATGCTAGTAGCGCTGCACTGTCCCTAATCTCTGACACAAATTTTGAGGGCTGCGCAGCACTTTCTGCATTTAGGGACAGTACATGAGATTTTAGGTTTCTTAGAGACAGTACAGCACTGTTGGCTTCCAAAGCCAGATTTTAGGGACAGCACAGCACTTTCCATCTGCAGCCTGCAAACTCGCTATCCAGAAGGTTATCCATGCAATCATCTGCTCCTCAAGAATTATCCACACAAATCATCTGCTCCCATGTTCCAACATTTGCTCCACTTTCTGCACCGAAATTCAGGATCACAATCTGATCCGGAACAATGCTGCAAAAAGCAGCATTTGTCCAGTGTTTTGTTTGCAGAAAACACTAAAATGTGGATCATGGGGGGGCACCGTATCCATATATGCATAGACACACCGCCAGCATTGCGAACCAAACTGGCTGGAAAAAGACAGCAAAGTTGACGCCTCCGTGGGCGTGCCCAGGGTGCTGATGATCTTCCGAATCTGATCCACATGATCCTTGCCTGACCGAAATCTGCCAGGTCTCTGAGGGGCAACATCTAAGATGGGCTTCGGTGTCTGGTTGGTTTCCCGCGATGTCCACTTTTTTGACTAACTGAACAAGGGGCAGAAAAAAAGAAGGAACCACACCCACAAGGCACATGAACAACTCCTTGCAAATGGATTGCAACCTGCCTGCAAACAAGGGCCGACGTGTTATCAGCTCATAAAGAATGCAGCCAACGGCCTGGGACAGCAATCTCCACATAGCGCAGACACTGACGCATTGAGTGATACCAACAGGGTCATTCATACGTGGTCAATTTGAAACAGTTTCTCCTTGTATTACAAAACCAACGGCAAAGTTGGATCTTCCTCAGCGGACCCAGTTGATGGCTTCTAATAAGCGGGTTCCAGCTCGCATCAAATGAAATTCATGCGTGTAGCATCCTGGAACACATTTACCAGCTTCCAGCAGCATTGCGCCACACGGGGGTGCGGTCTGCATCACAATATGTCGGGCAAAGCTGAGCCGTGCACCCACACATCAATGGCAACTGTGTACTCAGACGAAAGCAACATCACCTGGCTCGGTTCATATCAAGTCCGAGAAGCATGCAATGCCCAAACATGGGCAAACTTGGCATCACAAACTCAGCCAACCCAGCGAATTTCCTATGTCAACCCATGTGATCAGCGCATCAAAATACTTGTTTCACTAAGAGGACATGACAAAAGATTGGGTGCACGTGTGGACTCCTGAATTTCGCGGAAAATGGGGTGGGGCCCCATACCCTCTCCATACGTGCTAGCCGCGCATTCGGGCAAGCAGTTTCCGCTCGCGATTCGTAGGCCTCTGGGGCACGATACCAGCGGGTCACCACGTAGTCCGTGCGCCCTGCGTCTTCCGCCTCTGCCAGAACCTGCACCAGCGCCAAGCAGATAGTCTAGGGGCCCTGTCAAGCAGGTGAAATGGTAGAAACTATGATTCACCCATACTCCAAAATCATCCTATTGCACCCAACCCCAACAAACCACTTGGAGTTGCAAAAGAATCCAACTGGAAAGCTGGCGAATGATCCATGCAATGGTCCAAATGGACCTGCTCGCTGAATCTGAGCTGACCCGAGCAAGTCCGAAGTCGCAAATCTTCAGGTCACAGTTCTTGTTCACCTTGCCATGGCTAGGCTGAAAGCCTGTCGAGTCAAGAAAGGCATAGCAGGCAGGGTTGGTGGCAAAACCGCTTTACATCCCTTGAAAGGGAAACCAAAAGGAGATTATTTGGCCATGGGTCAAAAGCCCGTACCCCCTGTCAACATTCCAATCCCCGCCAAAACAGACCAAAATGGGTTGTGCACCGACCCCAAAATGGTACTGTACCATTGGATTTGACCCACAGCCATTCAAACCATTTGTTTTTGAAGATGAGCAACGAGGGATTGGCCCGACAACTGCAGCAAGTCTTGCAGCTCGCTTCGCTAAAATTTCAAGCCAAGGTGGGAGCCAAAAGATTCGACGGCTTGATGTCTCGGTGCCTCAGAGGCTAAGATGTAGCTCTGCGTCAGAGCCGTGGATATCATTCTTTGTTGGGGACCCTTCGGGTGACATCTTCATGGGGATTTCATGTCCATGTGAGGGTGTTCCCCAAATGGCCAGATCTTAGACCTTGCATGGCTTGAGATCCTGGCACTATGTGCGCGCTGTGCAAGTACGCTAAGCCTTAGTGTCCGTTGGGAGCCCGAATCCGATTCGGCCGCATTCCCAAGGCACTTTGTTGCATGCGCAACAACCTCTTGGGAAAGAGCCCCGCAGCAACTGATGCACGAAATACTGATGATGCTCCTGAACGTCATCAACCGGTGACACGTTTCCACGAAATGGCTCCTGCCTCGGTCAAAGGCTGCTTCGAATATATGACACGGTGCAAATCCTAGGATCAGCACAGGCGTCCTTCCGCAACATGGCAATATCCAGCCGACATGCGTGCCCAGCAGAACGGACGAACCATATAATTGTGCATGCATTGAGCCCGTGCTTGGAAAGTGCTGCATTTTCCACAACTCGGATCATGGTTTGCATCACAGGTGGACGGACCTATTCTCCACGGAACAGTCACCGGAAACAGAAGGCTTCGTCACCCGTGCTCCTGCACTTCACGGCCAAGTTGCAGTTTCCATGAGGTCAGTCACTATGTAGATGTCCTTGCTGGTGAAATGGCTATGGGTCACAACCCCATACCCAGTCACTAAAACAGACGAAAATGGGTGGTGCATTCACCTACCCCAAAATGGTACCATTGGTGTTGACCCACACCCAAATGGGCTTTGCAATCTTTGTGCCGACAGCGGAAGCCGCCTCAAACTCTGGCCCCGTTGGGGGATACATGTCGAGGATTCGGATGATGTTGTCCTGTGCTGATGGCAACGGACACAGTCGGCCTTCGGTTTTTCAGCTTGGGCTCAAACGTGGTCTAGCTGCCTCAGGAGCTTGACCTTGCGGACTCAGCTTCTTGGTTCCGCATGGAATTGTAGATGGGCGGTTGCGTTGTTTGAGGGTACCCCCTTCGGTTGGTTTGAAGGGGAAACAGCAGATCCTGGCGGTGACCCTACTTTCACACACCCATACTTCACACAGCCCATCAATCCACAAACTCCAGCCGCAGCCTCACGCAGAATGCGCTTCCCATCAACCTGAGCATTCAGAGCAGGCAGGAAAACATTCAAACAAACGAATGAGCTCCTGACCAGATCATCAAACGCATTGGTGATTTTCTTCACCTTGCCAAACAAGTTGCCAAACTTTCCGACGGTCTCAGCACTGGGATGCACGCCGCGATCTTCTCTCCTGATGTTTTGTCCTGTGCTCGAAAGGCATCGCAAGGCCTTGAAGACCCCCAACCATTCACTTAGGAACCCTTTCCCTTTGGTGAAGGAGACGCGCCGATTAGCGCGGAAAAATGGCATTGCAGTTACCAGGAAATTTGCTCTGTGGTTACCCAGTGTTTTCATGGCAATTCAAACAGTTTCGTGGTAACCCACTGTTCTCTTCATGCGGTGAGGTCCTTGAAAGAGGCAACGCAACCATACGCGCCAGCGCCTCAGTGCTCAGCAGGTGCTCTCAAAGAGGGCAATCCGTGTCACATTGCACACCGGAGTCACAGTGAAAGCCTCGTATTTAAGTGCCCAAAAACATAAGAACTGAAATGGAAGCGTCCTTTCGTAACAGTGTCAAATATTTCCTCTGGCAAAAACATATCACAGATTCAAGGAGACATAGTCCTGATAAAGTCGAATATTAAATCTGATCGAATGTTGTCAGAGCAGAGATGTCACTTCAAGCATCACATCACTGCAGCAGTCGGTGAGTTTTGGGTGCATCTCAATCTGTCCTGAAGCGTGACCCAAACTACGATCCGTCAGAGTGTTAAGAAACTGTTTGATGCAAGAAACCGGAGCCTCGTTCGGCCTGAAAACAAATTATCATATGAGATGCCGTCCCCACTCAGATTCATCACACCGCAGGTTTATTACAGGCGGGCCATGGTGGGGGCTAAAAACACCTCAAAGCCACACGAAGACCCCTTTCACATCTTTCGCTCTCTGCTTTCCTAAAAGCTACAAAGCTCAAGGGAGGTGTTTCTACGAAACCCACCGGCGCTTGCCGGCGCCGCCCAAGCCGGCACCTGTCCTTCGCTCTGACGGGTCTTGATTCATGGCTCTGAGCCACGCACCAACCTTCTTCACCAGTTCAAGATGGACCGGCACGCGGAAGGTGCTTTTGCCATCCTGACAAAAGGAACGCAAGGAACGGCGCCAGCGGCGAGCATGTCAAATGATTCACTTGGATTGTGGAGAGAATGCCAAGCAAAGGCTTTTTCAGCTGCCCTTGAGATTCCAGCTCCTTTCTCGCCCCTCAGTTTGAAGCAAATCCGGCCAATCACTGGAGGCAAGCCGTTCTTGGAGCGTGGTTCGCCAAGAATTCAAGCTGGCAGCTTCTCCCCAGGGAGCCAAATCCTTGTCAAAGAGCTTGTTCTTTTGGAGGCTGACCTGGTCTGCTGCTACCCTTTTGGGGGTTGGTTGAATGGGAACAAAGGAAACCAAAGCACATTCGGGAGTCCAAATCCCTACCACAAAAAATAGGGGTGCCAATAAATGACAACGTGTGCCTTTTGTTTCCCTTTAGCTGCCAAGCCAAAGGGGGTCGCAGCCGCACCATTTTGAGCAACCCCCACCTGGCCCTCTAAGTAAAGGAGCCTCGGCAGACCTGGAGAGAGCCTCTCATGGGAGTCCAGATGGTAAAAGCGCGCCAAGGATTGTGCAAGCAACCCGTAGCAGCGCTGCTCCGATACCTTCCAAATGTTCAAACCATGTACGTTTTACACCAGAATCCGTTTGGTTTACCTTCAAAGGACCAGGTCGAACTGCGACCAGAAAAATCGCAAACTTTGACAAATCCAAAGTGTCCAAAGTTTCCCACAGATTTCGGGAGCCCGGATATTGAAAACTTTGCAAACTCGGACCTTCCCGGCGATCTTCACCACCACAAACTCCTCTTCCTTCAGCGTGGCCCGCTGGGTCATCTTCAGCTGGACTCGGGGTCCGAGTCCGTCGGAAGCAGCCTGGACTTCCGCCATGGCCGCCTGATCGCGCGGTGCACCAGGGGACGTTTGGGACCAAGATGGTCACAAAAATTATCGGCATCCTTGGGGTTGTTGTTGCTGTTTTTTGTTCAGGGAAGCCAAAAGGAACCCAAGCAGTTTGGGTGTTTTTTCTTTGGGTGAGTCTTTCTGAGGGTACCCTTTTCAGGCAGGTTTGAAGGGGAAAGCAAAACAAGAACCACCCTTGTTGGGGGAAGCTTTCCCAATTTCGAGACCTACCGGGGGGAGGCTTGGATAGGCCTCGCGATCTCACTGGGACCACCGCCATGAGACCAGCACCTGGGTTTTTGGGCGCGGCTCACCTTGAAGTTGCGGTAGATGTCGCGCCGCTGCTCAAAATCGCAGGGCTGATCACTTCCACCGGACAATGCTGCGAATGGAAGGAGGTATGCGAAATGTTGAAGCATATCGCTCTGCTGCCACTCCTGCAGCACTGCTTTGTTGACAGGGATGCAGCTATGCAGAATCAGAGCTGTCTGCGAAAGCTCAGCTCTCAAGCGATCCATCAAAGCATCTCCGGTCATTCCAGATGACAATCTTGCAAGCACTGGCGTTGCAACTGTTGGACAGAAATGGCTTCCGCTCGCGTGAAGAATCAGAGACGCTCCCTCTCCACAACACGCCATTTTGTCGTTGAGGACCTGCATACAGTGAGCCCATGACAGATCAACCCCTATCAGAATGGCAATGAGCTGCGGATCGCGTGGCTTAAGCAAGGACAAATAACCGGATGCGTCTGCTTCGGAGATCATCCCCAGGCACGCCGTCGAACTGCGGATGTGCGCAAACAAAGCATTCCTGCTGGGAAAACCAGCCTTACACCACTGACAGAGCTCATTGCCTTCAGCTGGGCTTTGCCTGAGGTCGGGGTTGGGCGATTGTTGAGACAACCAGCTCCTGGTCCGATTCACCCGGCAGGTTGCCTAAACAACAGGTGGTTTAAACCAAGGTGACCGAACCCGAAGGCCTGAGGCTGTCCCTGTAACCCGACGGCTCAAAGCAATCCAGTTCATCCTCCGCACACACCGCCGCAGTGCCAAGCACCACCTCGCTGAAGACCTCGTCGTTTCCGGAGTGGTGGAAGAACTTGAAGGGATCCAACTCCGCATCGTCAGCTGACAAATGAATCTCAAACATCGCGGCACTCCCATGGAATCCCCCCGTTTCGCCTCCTGCACCATCGCCTGATTCTCCCTCTTTTCGCCGCAACTGGGACAAAGGTATTTCCACCACAAGCGGCGTCCCATGAGCAGAAGAAGCATTGCCCACGCACCAAACCGCAGCAACCAACCGAAAGTCTGAAGTGCCAAAGTCTCTGAGCGCGTCGTACAGCTTGCACACTTCGCTTGGAGAAAAATACGCCCAGGACGCTTTGTCGCCAAGCTGACTTTGAGCGCTTGCTGGCTCTGCAGCGTTCTGTCTAAGCTGTTGTAGGCTTTTCATAGAATCCACCAGGCAGCAAATCACCAAGAGCTTCTTGCCAGGTGATTTGACGGCAAGCCTGAATCTTTGAACGCAACGCTGCAGGTAGTCCCGATCCTGCAAGGTTTGAAGAGTTAGAAGCACACTGCGTGCGCCAACTAGAAATTCCCCCAATGCGCAAAGCCCTCGTTTTCCGGTCTCCTGAAAAGATCAGACAACCTGGCGTTCAAATGGTCCAGTGAGAACTGGTGTTAAAAAGCGGCACCCATTGGTTGGGACAGCCCACCTACCCTACTGCTCTTTGGTTCTGATGGCTCGCCTGGCGTTTTCGCAGTGGGTCGTGGTGCAAGAAAGTGAAGCCTTGCCATCGGCCAGGCAGGCGTAAATCCGAGTATCTCGCGTGACCTGCACCGCCTGCGGCTTCAAAGTCCCCAAGTCTACTTGCTCGCATGGGCTTAGCTAAGTGAGTTGCAATAGTAATAGAAATAGTAATAGAAGAAGAAGAAGCAGAAGCAGAAGAAGAAGTAGTGGCAATAGTAGTAGCAGTCGTAGTGGTAGTAGGTAGGGAGCAAAGTATCTCTGAGGAGCAAGGGGGTGCCATTTTAGCAAGGTGGCCCAGCCTCGTCGGCCGATTGCTACGTACTCGCGTGGATCCAGGAATGCTTTGAAGTCATCCGCCAAGCAATCACGCACCATGGCGGGAGACGAAAAGGTCCAATCAAACGGCATTGCAGACCTGGCAAGCGCACTTCAGTCAGCTTTGCCGGCTGAAGCTTCAAAGACATGTTCAAAACAAAAGTACGCGTGAATGCTTGCATTTTGCAGCCACGGCGCTTTCTCCATCCTTTCACTTGCAACCATGCAGCTGCCAAGCAGTTCGACCCCAAGGATATTGCGCGAACGAATGGCCCATCTGAGCTTGGCCTTAGTCAAGTGGCACCTCCAGAAACGTTGCTGATCATTACCTCACCATGCCACCTTACAGAAACTTCGTGTATCAACTCACGCACAACAACAAGAGAGCACGCACAACAAAGGAAGAAGGATACATCCATGCCAATGTATCCCCCAATGTCCGTCCCAAATTGACCAGAGACAACTGAAAACTTTACCCGAACCCAAACTGCTTATTGCTGGAGGTCAAGGAGCAAGGACTCCATCTGCGCTGGAGCTGCCCACACACCATTTCGGCCCCGCAAGCTGAAGGCGAAGCAGCAAGCTTGAGCTGAAAAGTCCCGGGAAAACGGGCATCTCACGTTTATGCCAGAAACCGGTGCTCACGCGCTCCTGCTTGCCGTCTACTACCACCTCTTGAAGGTCGTAGACAGGCATGAGGCCTTGCAATCCATGCAGTGCATCCAGTTGTTAGTCTATCACGACTGGGAGGGGGGTTGTCAAAACTTTGGCCCGTGTTTTGGGCCCTGCGTTTTCCTTGTGCCGCCTTTTTGGAGGGGGTACCACCGAGGGCCCCTGATTTTGAAAACCCCGCAACTGTCTGCCCAGGGCGTCTCACTGAGACGGCGCTGACCCGCTGCATCTACCTGGCTGTAAGGACAGTCATTCTGTGAAGGTCGAAAGCTCGAGTGGTAAATCAGCCAGAACCACAAAAGTCGTGAGGTTGCTAGTGGCGTCACCTGTATCAGCCACCTTCTGCTTTGTTCTCAGAACGTCGTTTCGGCGATGAGTCTTCAACTTGAGATAGTGTGTTGCTAGACTGTAACTCAAGGTTGAGAGGCTGGAACACGTATCTGGGAAGCTAGCTGCTGGCTGCACATGCATTGCTTGATGCTTTGTCTGAAGCTGTGGACCATGCACATAGACATCAGACAATTGATCACATCGTACCTGCCGGACCCTCCAGTTCCTGGCGTTCATGCTGCCCCCTCCCAGGCCGGCCAGTCATTTTCTCAAGCTTGCGGCGTCGGGGTTGCGCAGTACGCAAGCACCACACCCAAAGCAGCCACAGCAGCCAGGCCAGCACCTAGGAACGAGGAACTGTCGTGGAAGCTCGGGGGTGGGGGAAACGGTCGTGTGTGTGTGTGTGTTCAGCTGGTTCTTGGATCTCTGGGGAGAACCCCAATGTTTGAGAGACTTCCTCTCAATTTGCCCCCTTTGCTCCTTCGCCCTGGCCTCTGCAGGCAAACTTCTGGACTTGCTCCGTGAGACTGCGATCGGAAGGTGCCTGGCCAGTTTCACATCCGCTCCTCCTCTTGGATTGGCCATAAAGTTCATCTCAGCCCTCGCTTTTCCGGCCTTGCAGTCTCTCCCCTGCGGTGCTCGTCGGAGATGTTGCTGCATCTTCGAAGCAAGAATCGGTGAAGGAGCTGTGACCGAAGCAGAAATGTGTGCTTCTCCAAGCAAGAATCGGTCCCCTAAAATGGTTAGCTTGGCTTCCTTTTGGCTTCCCTTCAAATACCAACCAATAGGGGGTCCGAATCCCATCTTGGAGAACATGGCCTTCTCCACATCCTCCTGGGCACCAGGTGCATGGCTCAGACGGGCCATGGCGTCCTGCATTCAACGCAGTTGATTTTTTTCCCTCCTGGAGGAAATTTGGGGAGAGGGGAGGGGACTCTCCCATGTCTCGACCGTGGAAATGTTGACCGAACCTCATCTCTCTTTCCCCAAGGGGTTCACAACAGCCTAGTCCCCTAGCAAAAATCAGCGCCAGCACCAAACCAAATGCACCCCACGAGTGCGTAAATGTTCGTCTCTCCCGGCCTCGACACCCGCTTGGTTCTGCACTTTCTGCCGAACCAGGGCCAGACTTTGCAAAGCCTTGGCGCAAAATGGCTATGTCGCAGGAAAAGTACTGCATCACAGCTCCATGCAGTCTGCCCCTGCCTCTCTTTGTAAGTTCAAGCATCGTGCGTCCAGCTCAGATGAAACTTTGTCATCCTATCTGTCACACTCAAGCTAGCTTCGCGCTGCGGCGGCACTTCTCGGTCCTGTGTCTCTGAATCCTTGCCGCCTGGAAGCAAAGTCCGGTGGCGCTGGCGGGTTGACGCATGTTGCCGTGTTGGAGGAGGTGTCGCAGCTTCAAGACGCAGTTCAAGCCGCATTACCGAACTCTGCGCCTGCCAGCCGCCACTTTTGCAGCAAGGCTTCCTCCGCATCGGCCAGTCGTCCTGCCTGGCATCTTGCCATATCTCACAACTGGCATTGAACACGTGTTCAGCCTTGGCCGCACCAAACGCCCATTCGCCGCACAGCTTTGCCCACTCCAGCGCAGACGCAGTTGCAACTTCCTGGGCTGGAAAAAGCAGCTTCGCTGGCGTTCTGCCATGTATCAAATGGCTCAGCAAGCCTTGAACATGCAGCCGTGCATCAGTTGGGACGGATAGAAGGTGTCTGGATGCATCAAGCGTCTCCTTCAGTCAAAAAAGAAAAGTGACTTGAGTCACAACCAGAAACTGGTACTAAAAGGGTCTAGCCAATGCAAAGTGGTTGGGACTATCACTCAATACCCTAAATCCACCCAAATCGGGTAGATTTCGAGGTGGCTTCCCTGCCTCCACGGCAGCCCGATCCCCGCGCATCTGGTGAAGGGAGCAAAGAGCTGCCTGAAGTCTTCGAATCCGATGGCTGCCATAAGGCTATGGGTCAAAAAACTGAACCAGGCAACCGCAGGCTTGAGTTCTTGTCCACCATGTAACCGGCTTCCATGTTGGGTGTTTGACCCACACCCGCAAAAAGCCTGGCCTGTGCTTGTAGCTGTCGCCGCTGGAACTTCGCCTGCAGAGGGGGCGAAGCTCAGCCCTAGGTGAAAGGCTCTTAGCTGCTTGGGGTTCTGATCGAAGAGTTTTTGCTCCGTTCCGCCGGGTAGGACGCCAATGTCTCTCAGGGAAGGATGCAAGTTTGCCAGTGGCCTGGCCTCTTCCGGCTCGTCCCCTGCGATCAAATCAGGCAAATCACACAAACGAAAACTCAGAACGGCCTCCTCCAGCGTGGAGCCTGCCCAGCGAGTTGTAGTACGGCATCTCTGGAACATGCACCGAGCTTGCAGGTCCAACTCGTTAAGCCTATGAACCATTTTGGAGGGACATGGGCACTCTCCCATTTCACTGCTTGGTAAAGGGGGGGCGTCTCGCAAATGTTGCAAAAATAAGGGACTCTCGAATTGTCCCAGGGAAACAGCACCCTCTGTCCAACAATGGAAGTGGACCGGGCTTCCCCAAAAGCCCTCGGACTGTTGCACTGAGGGTCGATTTTGGCGCCATGCTGATGCCGAGGCCTTCCCTGAGCGAGCTTGAAGCACTCCAGGGCGCGCTCCAAAGCAGGCACCGCCTGGGGCGAAACATTTCACCCTCTGGCAAAGCAGCGGGGACCCGTTTCACCCATTGGCTGAAATCATGCCCTACATGGCTGTAAAGTGGCTGTACTTTGGCAGCTGTCGTTTGTTTGTCTCCTTAACAACAACATGTCTTCATTTCACTCCAACCCCAATGAAACCACAAACCGAACCGATGGCCGTCCGCAACTGGAATCGGTCTTGGGCGCTTCTGACTTTGCCGAGAAGAGCTCCGGGCCAGGTCAGACTCATCTGCAGCCTATCGCCGTTGCCGTTGCATGGCGCGAGTTGGTCTCACAACATCATGGAGCTTCCCAAAAGTTGTGTTTTGACCACCAAAGAAACAAACTGTGTCTAAATCTAAAGGGAAACCAACAGGAAGCCATGGAAGCCGTGGAAGCCATGGAAGAGATGGACGGATTCTGCGAAACCGCCTCGAGCCTCGAGTCGAAGGCCCAGCTCCAAGACGGCGGTCCCTTCCAGCGCTGCATCGGTACCCGGCCTGCAAGGTTCCCGAAATGGCTGTTAAACCCTCCGCAAAAAGTATTTACCTGTTTGTGGGTTTAGTGGAAAACCCCTTGACTTCCCAAAAGTGAAAGTCTAAAGATCCAACCCAATAGCAGATAAGTCCCCTTTTGGTTGGTCGAGACTTTCCTCTGGTCAGCTTCCCCCCTAATTGGTGGTTTGGATTGGTTTTCTGGCGGTTGAGGAGGGGTTTCCTATTTACCCTCTACAAGAACCAGAGATTCAATTCCCTAGTCACCAATCCAAACCACCAATTGAGGGTTGCCTGATCTCGGGTGATGTTTTTTCAGAGGAATTATAGGGCACCTGACCAAGGCAATGCAAGGCACAGCATGGAGGCCTCTGAAGTGCCTGAGCCGCTCGGCGAAACAAAGGCAGAGACTCCTGGCACATCTATGACCAGTTGGACCACATGATCGGATGACGTGTGCTATGATCCGAAGTGGGTGTGTTGAAGTTGGCGCGTCTGCATAGTGACTTGAAGGTGATTGCTCAAACATGTGCAGTCATGGCGCTCGCGGGATGGAGCGTTGACTTGGACTGCCAGCAAAAGCTCACAGGAAAAACGGATGTCAAACAGGAAAAAAGTGTTGGTTTACTTTTGGGTTCCCTTTAGACCACCCAAAAAGAGTACGCTCCAAAAAACACACCATGCCGACGATTCACGGCTTCGCCATGACACTTTGGCCAATCTGCCGTGTCAAAACAACAATGGAGTCCATATTCAACCAAACTGACCTGAAAAGGACCTGGGCTTGTCTTGTTTCAAGGGTACTCATTTTTGTGGCTTCAAAGGAAGACCAAAAAGGCAGCCATTTTGGAGGTCCCCTCTAAAAAATCAAAATGACACAGCTACCTATCCTTTCATCAAGGCAGTGGCAAAGGGCTCCTCCTGGGAAGCCTCGGCAGCATGACCCATGGAAAGGTGCAGGAGCCCTTCACGCCTCGGGGAAATTCACACGCGCGTGCAACGGACGCAACGGACGCAACGTACGTCCCAAACGGAACACGCGAAAGTCTTTGGGCCCAATTGGTCTTGACGCAGCTTGTTGTGGCTGACATTTGCGCAGCCCCCTCTTCTCGTTCCCCAAACGAAAAACTTGACATTGGGTTCCACATGTTTACAAAGCTGTACATGGTGAAACCAGGAACCACCCCTTTTTCACGGCCTTTCGGCTCAACCTAGGCATTCTCCACATGTCCGGCCTTGAAAACTCCGGCTCCTTGAAGGGCACCTGAAGCCGATTCCCCAAACCCCAACGAGTTGGGAAGTGTCTCCTGCAAAAGGGGCTCCATTTGGAACGTCCGCCTGGTTCTATCTAGATCTGTTGGATGCCTGGCCTGCGTCCCTGGGGGCGCCTTCAGCAGCGCGGCCGCCCTGCGCTGACTGCGCAGGGCGCCTGCCTCAAAGTGCGCGGTAGGGTTCCCTTTATGTCTAAGCAACAAAATAAAACATCCCCAAGAAGCCTCATCTCGGGCCAAAAAGATGATGTTTAAAATCACCCGGGGACCCCTGATCATGGAAGTCGACAGGAGGGTTTGGGAAAGCCTCCATCTTCAAATGATCTCCCCCCTTCCACTACCGGCACTGGAACTCTGCAAGAGCCGCGGGCATTTCAACCAGCTGAACCCTAGGTCTGCAGCGAAGTCGCGCTTGGCTGCCAGGCAGTCCCCCAGCCCCTGAGCGTCGACGCGTCGACCCAAATCCACGCAAACGATCAGAAAGGGCAGCTGCACCCTATGGATTGGGACTTTCCTTTACAGATCTATGCCTTACGTGGCCTGACCCTCCCGCCTCCAGCGCATCAAAGCCCAGCGATCGCAGAGCTTGAGCACTTAGAACCTCTATTGGCCCGCCCTGCTCCTCAGGGCTACAGCCTCTTGCTTCACAGCAACAGGGACCTTCACGAATGTGTACCAAGAAGGGCATGGGAACATTGGGGCCCGGTCTTGACCCTGGCTTTTGTGGGTGAAATTTGAACTTGGGCCCATCCTCACCAAACGAACAAAAGACTGCCGGTAAATGGGCCCAATCATTAAGAAAACACACAGAGATTGAATGACACATGCTGTGACTTCCCCCGCAAAGGTATCTGTGAAAGCATTTGTCCCCTCACCTGAAATTTACCTGTAACCTATAAACGAGGTAAAGGTCCATGACATTCTTCCCTCAAAGGCGGCTTACCTTTTGTCAGCTGATCATTTGCTCCCGCCTTTTGATCCAGGAATTCAATGGCCCGAGTGAAGAGCTTCTCTGCCTCCAAAAAAACATGTTGAGGCGAGCGACTGCGCTCATGTGGGTGTCTGTTGCTTGGGGTACCCCTTCGGGTCTGGTCGTTCAAACACATGGGTGCATCACTCAACAATTCGCCTCGGCCCCCAAAACCGGGAAGCGGACAGACTTCTCGCCAATCCTTGCACTGCGGTAAGCAGCCAATACCATGCGCCCCCTTGGGAAGACAGATCTCGCCGCATAGGTTCTCGAGGTTCTCCAGGTCGGGAACTTCAGGCACGCTCCCGCGGTTGCTTTCGCGAACCTCAGAGTCCTGTTCAGTTCCGCTTGGATGTGGCTGCCACCGCCGCACAAGCGTCGCTCTGCCGGTGTGGCTGGCCACCCTGGGTTCTGATCCGGTTTTTCTCTGCCACCTGCTGAAGTCAAAGCTCTACCTGCTTAACCAGATTGCGGGCCATATCATCTTCTGCGGCGCCGAACAACAAAGTCATTGACACGCACCGCTTTCCTGGCTAGCCGAAATAGATGACGAGCTGAGCCACCCAAGCACTGCCTCACAGCACTGGTGCGTCAGCAAGTCCGTACAAGCTCCTAGCAAGCTGCGGGCAGCTTCGCCAAGAATGCCGCTCGGACATTCCCCCAAATGAGGAAGCCTTGCCTTGGCCACCGGTTTACTGTCTGTGGCCTTCCATGTCAGCCACACTTGCCCGGGAAACAGGACGGGTTGGACGAGCTGTTATACTTACAGGCTTGGCTGCGGGGTTTCCACCAAGCCCCTACTGCGGCTGCAGCCTCAGCCAAGGCAACTCCCCCCAGCCCTTCCATGTAGAAACACGTGAGCATGCACCCACTTCATCTTGCAAGCCAGCTCGCGCATTTCCGCGCCAACTCATTCGCAGAAACACGGCACTTGAAGGCAAACCAAACACCAGCGCTTCAAAGCCAACCAAAAGAATCTGGCTGATACTGGCGGAGGCGAGCAACCCTCAAGATGGATGGCATCCTTTGACTTCTCTTTTAATCCAACCAAAAGGCGGTCCCCAAAACAAGGCGATACCACGTTTGTGGCTTGGCTAAAAAAGCGTTTCCGGACGGAAGCCGCCCAAACCAAAGGAGTTCCCCTGCCCACGTCGCGCCTCTGCAGGCTTGCTTTGCTTAAGCAAGGCAACGCCCAGCCGCACCCAGTCTGGAACTTCTTGGCCCTTGGCGAAACAGCATGGGGCTCCGTTCTTCGGGTAAAGAAAACAAGCAAATGCTTGGGCGCGCACCCAAGAAGTGGGTTCCGGATTAAGCTTCTTCTCCAGCTGCGCAACTTGGTTCTGCACGTCCTCTGAAAGCGTTTTGAGTTCAGAGGCTTTCCGGTAGAAACTGACAAAAATGTGCAGCGCCAGGCCTTCTCATTTCGCTCTTTGGCCCACTGACTTGCTGCGGAGAGCCACTGCCTGGCGGCCCAGAGTCTTGGCATGATTTGACCAAAGTTCGCCAACTTGCTGACCTTGCTCAACCCCGAAAACAAACAAAAAAGCAGTAGCTGCTGGGACCTTTGGTGGCTACTCCATCTGTTGGGTTTCGAAATCCAAGCAAATGCCACCAAGTGGGTCCGACTCGTATTTGATTTCTGAAGCCGAAGCCTTGCAGCGTTCGCATTCCGCTGGTCTGCGCCGAGACGGGCCAGCACCAAAGCAGCCTAGTCATTCCATGCTTGGCGCACACTCTCTGGGTTTGTCTGCCAACTTTGGACCCCAAATGGGTGCCCTCAGGACACTCCCATTTTTTTTGTTTTTTTTTGGTCAGAATATGGACTTCAATACTCCAATAATGGCTGTTTTCCTTCTGGCCTTCCTTTCAAACAATCCACCACAAACCCATGTGGGCGAGTCGCATGCGGATTCTTCTGGTCCAGCTTCAAGGCTGCGTGCGCCAGGCGATGAGCGGTTTCGGCAGCCTATCGTTCCGGCGCCCATTCGCAGGTGGGTGGCGCGTTCCAGATTGAGGGCTCTTCATATCGAGTCAAAACCTGCGAACTAGTTACAATGTGGGTCAAAACCAATGGTACCATTTTGGGGTAGGTGAATTCACCACCCATTTTAGAGCCTATTTCGTGGTTGGATTGGGATGCTCACTGACAGGATTTTGACCCATGGCCATGTGCACATTCCTAACAGCACAAGACCCGCCGTCCTGCTCCACCTGCTTTTGTCCCGCGGCCCCCAGCGGCATGGAAGCCACCTGCCGACCCAAATCCACCGGGCTCGACGCTCGCACGGGCCGGCGCTCGCGGAAAGCCCCGCGGGCGCCGGAAAACCGGGACCAAAGGAGGTCTACCATTTGGACATCAACCATATGCACATGAACCATGGGAAGAAAAAGAAGAGAAGAGACCACCAAGAGGTCGCCCAAGGAAGTGAACCATGGGCAAATCGACATCGACAATCCGGCACCTGCAAGGCCAGGCAGGCGGCGTTCAGGCGGCACTGAAGAGCCACCTCGACCTTGGCACTCCCGACCCATGGTCCATCCGGACCCATCTGGACCCATCAGGAGCCAGATTGATGGAAGGCACCTGAAAAGAAATATGTTCCCTTCCAAGTCTCCAATGCGCCATGTTGAAAGGCCGGGGAGGGGAAGAAGTACTGAGAAACAGGAATGCTGGACGTGCTCTGCGCCTGGCTGCCTGCTTGTTGAAGTTGTTCTCTTTCAAGAGCTCGTCAGCTCTGCAATACATGGTCACGGCCTTCAGTGCAGCTCCACCAAACTGCACACTTGTTCCCCACACGTGGGACGCTACGGGGTGCGAGTTTCAATCAAAGGGTGGACATCATGCCGGTGGGAGTTCATGTCCACCAACCACTTTTGAGGTGGTTTCTCACAGAAAGTCAGCCATTAGCCAACCTCGTCCTCCCTGAACCAACAGCTCCAGGCCTGCGCCAAGCATTCCTGGCGTTCAGGCAGCGCCTCACGTGCTGAGAGAAATTATCTGGCTTCTGATTGGTCAATCACCTGCAAAAGGTGAGGCTGCATCTCAATGAAAACCGGAAGCTTTCAAAGGCTCTTCATGTTGCTACAGTGCTCTCCGCGATTGGCTTGTGAAGCAGAAGAATGACAGTCCGAAAACACGCCTACCTCAATGATGAGTTTCTTTGAATCAACAGTGGCAACAATTAGGAGGACAAAAAAACTGGCAACGTCCCGCAATGCAACACAGGAAGGAGCACACAAACAACAAGCAAGCAAGCAAGCAAGCAAGCAAGCAAGCAAGCAAGCAAGCAAGCAAGCAAGCAAGCAAGCAAGCAAGCAGGCAGGCAGGCAGGCAGGCAGGCAGGCAGGCAGGCAGGCAGGCAGGCAAGCAGGCAAGCAGGCAAGCAGGCAAGCAGGCAAGCAGGCAAGCAGGCAAGCAGGCAAGCTAGCCAACAAGCCTGCTGGTAGGACACGCTACACAAGAGCCACGGCACAAACGAACTTGCAGCACTTTGGAAGTTCGGACTCATCTGTGTTGCACCTGCCGGATGATGTGCGACAGCAGTGACTGCTGGTAGATCCCCCGCTTCAGCATGCTTCAACCATCATTGTGTGAACACCCATCTGTGGGTTTCGCTCTGAAAACTGATGCCGCTCTCGGACATTTGCATAGGGATTTACGTCCGCCAAGAATATCTGAAGGTGCCGCCATCGAAGCAAAAAGAAACACCACCATGCAGCATCCCGATTTTAGCAAGACACCTATTCAGCTGTTGCACGTATATGCAATCCAGATGTTCCGGCATTCCAAGCTTCCAAACAAGCGCGACGGTTGGGCAAGCACCTTCGAGCAGAACTTTGAAACTCAATTCAGTGCCACAGTCCCCCCTGCCGATTTGCCCAACCCCAAGTGCCTTAGATTGCGCGTGGTGGGCCAATGCGTTGGCCTCGTGCGAGCGGGGGCATAGAATCCATCTTGCCTCAACACGGTCATCAAGGGTATATTGGTGCTTACTGAAACCAGATAGTAGAACTACCTGCTGAAACGGCCCATTGAGGCTTTAATTGAGGTCTTGGGCTGCTCGGGTACGTTCATGCGAAATCTTGGCCAGGAGTCACTGGGTGAACTCAACAAAAGCTCGCCCTCTCTGGCCTGCTCCCGGAGCTCTTTGGCTTGCGAGAACGAGGCTTCCCCTTCCTCATCAAGATCTGGGTCGTCCTGCAGTTGTGACTTGTGTGTGATGTGCAGCAAGCTCAAAAGAATTACTTGCTTCAGGGTCAGCTATACCTCCTTCTTAGGCCATAACATGTTCATATATTGATATGTCCTTCCTGAATCAGCAGTTTCAAGGGTGAAACGCCCTCTACGACCGCTTCAGGCCTCTAAGAAGGCCCATTTGGACCAAGTTGCCATCAATTGAGCAAGCCCAGCTCCCTGAACGCTTGGCACATGCTTGTCATGTTTTGTCACAAGCCTATTCCACTGATGGAAGTGAATTTTGCGTACACGTCGCGCTGCGGAACGTGTGACAACCCATCAATTCTGTCAACACTTGAGGACGAATGTGACGATTTGCAAACTGGCAATTTCTCGTCGCGCCGATGAGCCTCATCTTTTGCGGGCGCAGGCGCTTTTGCTACTTGAAGCCGCGAAGCAAAACTCAGCGCCGGGGACTTGTCCCCATTTCCTATGGTTGTCGAGGGCCCCAGACCCCCCCCCCCAAATCCCAAGAGAGGCGTAATAGAGGCTAACAGGGTTCGTTTTGGATGCCAGATTTTGGGGGGGGGCCCTAACAATCATGGGACCTTTTTGGCGAAGCGGGCTGTGTCATGGCCACTGTGAGCCTTCTATTTCGCAAGCTCGCATGAAGCATCGCTTCATGCGAATCTCTGCTCCACATCACCAAAGCGAGCAAACGTCTGCTCATGTTCTGCCCCTGGCGCTGCGGTCAGTGCATGAGCCACACTCAACATGTGCGGCTCCCATAATGCACGTGCAAAATTGGGGGGACGATTCCGTCCCACTGTTTCTGGGAAGCTTAGTGAGCACCCCCGTGTCCCCAAATAGACCACCGAAACCTCACTGACCAGTGCATTCAAGCTGCGGATCTGCGTGTCTGCTGTCACGGTTGAGGAAGCGAGCCTCGGGTTTCCGGCGGTCGGAGCCTGGTGGTTTAGAGCTTGGCTTCTCATGTGCCAAGAACCAGGGCACCCCCGCAAACCACCAATCCAAATCACCAAGGTAACCCGAAAGCACCGGCATGGATCAGGGAAATCCCACAAAGAAGCACTGAGGCTGCAGCATACCTTTTACCTGCGCAGCTGTGTATGGCCCAGATTCTTGATCAGCTTCGTCTTTAATGATCCATCGGCCTTGGCGACTGCAAGCACTACTGCAGTGTCAATACCAACTGTCACACAAACAAACAAACAAACAAAGAAACAAACAAACAAACAAAAGAACGGAAGAACAAAAGAACAAACAAACAAACAAACAAACAAACTGTGATTCGGGCACGAACCTGTGCCCAGGCAATGGGTAAGTTGGGGTAAACAAGCCACAAAAGAAAGGTTCCCCAAAAGCAAACCAATCCCCGGTCCCAAAGATCAGGGTTTCCCACACACCAGAGAACAACAACCAAAGGAAAACAAACCAAACCAGAAAAAGGGATACCCGCAACCTAGATCGACGATGAACCGCACGGGCGATCCCCACCAACCTACCCCGGGCCGAAGTCTCTTTCTCCTCCGACACGAAGGCGGTCGACGTGAGGGCCCGGCGACGCTCATCCGAGGCGCGCCGGATCCAAAACTTGAGCCAAAACACCACAGGTCGGTCACTAACGCGACGTCCCTGATGATGATATGAACCATGGCTAATCACACCCCCCTCACGAGGAGCCCGTCATATGACGGGTGGAGCGTGCCATTTACTGATAGGATTTAACTGCTCGCATGCGTCCGCAAACAGCTGGACACTACCGCCGTCAGCGGTGGAGCAAACCCACAAAGGCAGTTGCGCGACATCCCGGGCATTAAATTCCCGCCACCACCCCGAATTAATCGGGGTAACGCTGTCCAACAACCTTGTGGAAAGGTCCACATGACGACACTAGGTCACAACTGTTTGCATCAACAATGCAAGAAGTTTAATTCTTATCAGAAGCCATGAAATAAAAGATAACGTATGTCCATTAGTACCCTCGCCTAACGGCAAGAGGTACTCCTGACCATGCGTACCTGAATAAAAATGCTTGAATTCAGCAAACCCGGGAGTAACCCCCCATCAGTTTGCTTTCCCTCTCACTCACACTGCTCCCTGATGAACACGTCCAGCAGCCCAGCAGCGGTATGGGAGAGACATGACCTCCGCGCCTCAGCGGTCCGGGAGGAACATCACCACCTCCGCACCGCGCCGACCATTGGAGAATGGACGCAAGCCTATCGGCCGCAATCCTCGTGACTCAGCCTACCGGCTATCGTCACGTCTCCTCCGGTCACGTCCGCCCCGCGCACGGTCCCTATCACGATCCCTCTCGGATCTCCTGCGATCATCTCGCCTTCGATCTCGCTCCCGATCGAGTGATTCATCATCACGACGATCACGAGCATCGTCCCTCCTCCGGTCTCGCTCATCCTCGCGCCGTGGACGGTATCTGCGCCTCCTTGACTCCCTGGAATCCCTGGTGTCCACGGTCCTAACGGACCTCCGAGAAGGAGTACGGGAAACATCCGATTCCCTACGCCTCCTCCCAGATCGAGAGTTCGTCACGATCTGGTTGAGAGCCTCCAGTGCCGACGCGTCCTCACCATTCCTGATGAAATCCCTGACCTGCTTGTTCAGCACTCTGTTGGTGGAGATCGACAAGAAAGCGTCCACCACCGAACTCTCAGGCAGCACCAGAAAGTGACCCTCCACCGGGCTCGCCGCGGCCCGCTCAGCAGACTGCAGCCGGATCTCCCCGCCTTCAGGCTTCTTTGCCATCGCCTTGGAGGCCGTCAAAGGCGCTACCGCATCCTTTGCCGAAGATCTGCCAAGCGCGGAGTGAAGATCATCCCCGCTAGCTTCTCTCGCTGCCGCACCTGGTCTGCTGTCGACGTCGCCAGGCCTCGTGGACGCCTCCCGCTTTGTCGACTCCTTCGCAGCCTCGTCGGGATCCCAACGGGATTTCCTTTCTCTCTTCTGCCCTTCGGCCGACCCGCGGCTACCGCCGGGAGCGTCACCTCCGCCTGTCTTCTCCTTCTTGACCTCAACCTTCGGTTCGGCCTGCTTCGTCTCCTTAGCCACAGCTTTTGGAGCCGGAGCACTCTTCGCCTCAGATGCTGAAGCAGCCTTCCCTTTCGGCTCGGCCTTAGGAACCGGGGTCATTTTAGCCTTGGCACTCGGCCTGGCCCCTTCAACCACCATCTCGGCCCAAGACTTCTTCGGCTGAGCTGCTGCTGTATCAACCTCCATCGGAGCAGGTCCAGCATCATCCTTCGCCTTTGGGACAGATGGGCTACCGCCCTTACCAGATCCTTTACCTGGCACTTCACCTGATTTTGGTGGTGGGCCGGAAGGACTACCGCCCTTACCGCCCTTTTCCCCTTTCTTCCCTTTTCCTTTTCCGCCCTTGGGGACCGGCTCCTGCTTGGGACCAGGACCCGGCGCAGCATGATGCACCGATTGGAGTCCCTCGATGTCCACGTTCAATGGTTCGGGTTGACGACCGTCAAGAACCGTCCTCACCCTTTCGTCACTAACGTAGACGAACGGGTCACGGAAGGGTGCGGGAGGCTCCGACTGTCCGGCGCTGATCGCCTTCTGCACCTTGGCTATCGCCTCCTTCAACCTCTTCTTCTCATCGTACCCTGTCTCCGATACCATGTACTTCCTGAGCTGCGAGATCAACGCATGACTCTCCAGGATGTCCACGTCCTTTCGATGGGTCGGGTACAATGGGGTCAGATGACCAGCCGCAGAACCAATCACGTATGCCATCGGAATATAGAATGACAAGTACGTGTCATGACGAGCGAACTTCCTAACGGAAGTCGTCATACGCCTACCCCACTGAGCAGCGTGTCTTGGGTTGGCCCGGAAGTACTCCGTGACCGACTCAAATCTATCGACTTGGTTGGTCTTGATCAGGTGCTTCGCCACCCACTTCTCCACAAACGCATCCGAGGCCGAAATCCCGGACACATAGGAGAATTGGAAGAGCACCTTCGCCAGCTCATCCCACGCCGCATCGACACCTCCCTTGTCTTCACCAAGATAAGGGGGAAGTCTGATGCCGCTCTGCACCGTCATCCTTAGATCGGATGCCATCGAATAGGAAATCAAATTCCTCTTGATGACTCCGACCACTTCGGAGGGAATCCTCCTGGGCTTGAACTGCCCCATGGTCCTCACCCACTCCGGCACGATGTGGCACGTTTCGAAGTCCTTTTCCTCCGCGTTGGGGATAAAGTTCGGGTAAAAGACCGGGAGCGCGCACCCGGGACACAAGTGCATCCCATTTGGCATCAATTCTGCGCACCTCAAGCAGAACGTGGCAGTCACATTCAGCCTGATCTCTTCCCGTGATCGCTTGTGCTCTCCCCTAACGGGGGTGACAGTCACCGTGTAGTCTCATGCCCATGATACACTACCGCCTTCCAAGCCCCACATCCGCCGTGCCCCTCGATCTCGTTCCTAACGGCAAGAGTCTTCCTTCTTGTCAAAACACACGGTCCCCAACCAAGGACCAGTGCACCCGACGATCCACCATTACCACCACGTACCTGCCGGAGTAGTTCCGCAGCCTGTCCCTGACATACCACGAAGGCGATACCTCGGCATCCGGCGCCATGGCTCCCACAAGTGGGATCAGGCCCTCATCCTGCCTACCATCCCCAATGGTCTCGTACACATCGGGCCTCGTGATCAATATCTCGATCATGGCCTTTCCATTTCGCCTCACCCTTTGGAGCTGAACCGCCTTCCGAAAGTCCGAGAACTTCATGATGACGTATCCCACCATGGGGAGTTCATTCCAATGCATCTCATACATCAGAGATCCGCCAGGTGCATCTTCCTGAGTATACCTGTGCCTAACGGCACTGTAACTCAAGTCGCGTCCGATCCGCGTGTGCCTAACGGCAACCAACCTGGTGCTCTCTTTGAGGAGAACGCCATCCCCGTCGTACATGACCATGAGCATCGCCTCCACTTGCCCTATCGGGAAAGCTTTGAGCGTCGGAATGAAGAACTTCCAAGACATCTCAGCGTTCTCCATACCCGAAATCTCCTTCAGGAACCAGATGGCCTGGTCACTTTTCACCCAGTTTCCAGCCTCACGTCCGGTCTCCTTCAGCACACGTTCCTCGAATAACTCCGAGACTCTCTTTGAATTGATGACCAAACCGTCGAAATCGCACGAGAGCAGTCTCATCAACTCCTTCGCCGCCTCCC